GATACATCTCCGGACACTGTGAAGGTTTTTTCAGCAAACTTTCTTGATTAATGTGAGCAATGTAGATGAAAATGAATAATCTTTACCTGAAATTATATTTTCTTTTGCTCCTAGTGATATGTTGAACCAAAAGGATGGAGATTTGGAGTGAGAAATAGGATTGAGAGAATGTATGGTTTTTAGGGTGAGGGTTTGAGTTGAAAATGAAGAATGACAACAACAGGGGAATGATCATGCAGCTGGAAATTATATCAGATATTTCCGGAGATACATCTCTCGAAAAACCTGACATGCAAAGGTGACCAAAAAATTCAAATGTTTTTCTCACTAAACGAAACAATTTAAATGTTTTTCTCAAATTGTTCCGGAGATATATCTCTGGAATAAACTTTAGTAAATGCATGGGGAGCCACTCAGAATGATCTATGTTAGGGTTGCAAATGGTGCGTTCGGAGATATATCTCCGGAAATTGGGTCGGCCTATTTTGATAAATATAAATAAATATATTATTTTTTCTATTTCATTTTGTATTTTATATTAAAATACAAAAGTAAAGTTTAGTTGTCCTAAAGAACTTATGTAAATAAGTTGAAAAAGTTTTTATGAATAATGTCATAAGTTGTTTTTACAAGTTCTCCTAAATAAATAATCTCTCAAAACTTATTTTTCTATGTAAGCTCAAATAAGTCTATGTAAATAAGCATTTAGTCTCATTGTACTTTTGATTCTCTAGTATATTTAAACATTAGTTGAATTGCTTATTTATATATGTTGAAATGATATAGGCTTTTTTAAGTAGGCTAATAGGCTTATCATGCCTTCAAAAAGGCCATGCTCAGCCCAAAAATGAGCCTCTGGTAGGCCATAGGTCAGACTTAGGCTTGTATTATTTTATCAGATCAATCTCAGGTTTGGCAAAGCCTAACTCGGCCTAGCCTATTTCTACCCCTACCAACAGTGCACTGAATCAACAAGATAATTTAAATAGTGACACCTTAGCCCAAGAAATTTTTTGAGAACTGCAAGGTTATCAACCGACGAAACCCCACTGACACCATATCATCAATATATTAGAGATAAGACACTTGTGACCCACTGCTCCTTATCTTAAATCCTTCACAAACAACAATCGAAATAAATATTTTCAAGGAAATGCTTAGGCCTTCAACAACCAAAAGAAAGAGGAAAGGTACCAATGAGTCTCCTTGTTTTAGACTCTTCTAGATGCTAATATTCTCTATTGAGCACCCATTCACCAATATAGAAAGACTCTCCAAAAATATAGAAGCTCTAATCCAAACTCTCAATTTGTCATCAAACCCAAATCTCATTAGTAAGTAGTTCAAGAAATATTGGCTAAAACCGAGTCATAAGTCTTCTCAAAATCCTTTTGAAACGCAAAACACTCCTTTTTTCGACCTCTTAGTAAGGTCTAACACCTATTCAGAGCAACAACCCCATCCACAGGTTTTCGAACCTTAACAAATATTGATTGCTCTAAAGAAATCAAATACCTTATAACCCATACTAGCCTAGAAAACAACATCTTAGCTACCAATTTATACAAAGAATCAATAAGAGAGATATGTCTAAAGTTCCCTAAACCCAGAGGATAATCAACATTAGTGATAAGGGAAACAAAAAAAAAAGATGTGAGACTTTTCGGAAGAATGATGTTGAGAAAGAAATGGTCAAACATCTCAAACATATGATACTTAATAAGCTCCTAAAACTTCTTGTATACAGAAAATTTAAAACCATCCAGGCCCGGACTCTTGGAACCATCAAATTGGGAGACCACTTCCTCGATCTCTATAGGAGTAAACCTAGCAGAAATGGAGTCTGCCTCAACCAAGGAGATACAAGGAAGGATAACCCCATCCATGGTAGGCCTAGAACCCACATAATAAATTAAGTGATCTTTAAAGAACCTAGAAACATCCCATCTAACCTCATAAACCTTTTCCGCCCATTAGTCCCCTACACAAAGAGAAATCATACTTTTCCTTCGACTTCTCTTCCAGCCACAAGCATGGAAATACCATGTATTTACATTCCCCTCTTTAATCCATATCGCTTTAGATCTTTAAAATATTTGTGACCCACGATACCGAATAATCTTCCATAACTCTTGACAAACCAATGATCTACCCTCCAAATCTACAAGAGTAAGATCCACAACCTCATCCTTTAGCTCGAAACTCTCAAGCTTGCTCAAGCAAGCCTTAATCCAAATGCTTGGGTTACCAAACATCTAATTCTTCCAAACCTTAAAGGGAGTTTAAGGGATTTAAACTTATCTGTAATGATGCACACCATCCAGTGATGACAAACCTCCACACCCCAAGAATCGCAAACTAACGACTCTAAGCTCAAAGCACCCATAATGAAGTTGTTAAACCTAAAAGGCTTAGGGCCCCAAAACTGCGAAGGATACTTGACCATAATCAAACAATGATCAGAAGCATCATGGGTCAGAACCCATGTGCTATTTTGAACCCACTCCTCCTCTCACCCATTAGATAAGAGCACACGATCCAGCATACTCGTGGCAACCCATTTAGAGTGATACCAGGTAAACCTCATACCTAACAGGGATAAATCCACCAACTCCATAGCCTTAATGAAAGATTTGAACTCAAGGGGTTCCACCTAGGTCGAACCTTAAGTCCCACATCCACCCCTTTCTCTAGGCCGGACAAATAACCATATTGAAATTTTCCAAGACACGATAAGCATCGCCAAGAAAGCGCTTGGGCACCCGCACCAAATGATTTTAAATCACCCTTTTATCCGCCAAAGAATATTTGGCATAAACATTCACAACAAAACACAAGCGAGCATTCCCCCTTCCCCCCTTAAGACAAGCCCCAAGATATCTTGGACTAGATAACGAGAAGACCACATTCCACTCTGCACTACACCAAATAAAAATCAAACTCTAATAGATTCCACCCTCGGAGAAAAACTCCAGCTATAAATTGGATTTCCCCATATAAAACTACATAAGAACCCATCCACTTCCTTAAACTTAACCTCTTAAATAGGGCCAAAATCCAAATTATGTTCCTTGACCAAATTACGCACCTTCTTTTTTTACACTACCCCTTAATCTTCTAACATTAATGGACCTAATGATCATTATAATCCTTCTGCCTCCCTAACCCTCTTAGACTGAACGTCTCTCAGTTATAATTGAACCAACATCCTAAGCTCAAAAGAATCCTCCTGAATAAAAGAAAATCCAACCTCATTAGACCAAATCATGACTTGAAATATCCTGAAGAATGGAGTTTTTAGAGTTTGAATTTCATTTTTTTAACTCTTTATTTATTCTTATAAGTCATTAATAGAAACAATTTTCTCAACTGGTTTTTTAAATAAGTTCATAACATTTTTGAATTCTACTTTATTAACATGCCTTTTGCAAATATCGTTCTCGTCAATAATGTTTTTGATTTATCTCATGAAAGCGTTCTTACTTTCAGATTCTTCCATCTTATCTAATATTCCTATTAGGGTATTAGCTCAATGGTTAGTGTAGTGAGAACATTAATTCTTTTATTACAACTATTACAATTACAATAAATCTATTCCTAAACATTCATCACGGTAAAAATATGACTCTTCAAAATTATTAATTTGATGAATTTCTTCATAAGAAGATTCTTCAAAAGATGAAAAACTATCTTCTTCTTCAGAATTTATAAAAGATATTTTTTAATGTAGATATCAAACTTTCTTTTAACTCCTCAAAAATGTCTAAATTTCCTAATTAATTAAGATTCTTCATATGTGTTTGATTTTAATTATAATTATATTTACATATTTACCCTTATTATTTATTTAAATATAAATTTAACTTATAACAATGTTAAAAAATTTACTTTGAACAAATTTAATCTTTTTTTTTTATAACAATGTCCCTCATAATTACATAAAAAAGAGAAATTAAAAGAGTTGAAAGAATAAATATTTAAGGATATATTGGAGAAAGTGTTATTAATATTGCATTGAAAATGTAAGATCACTTATAATTTGGGACAATTTTTTTCGACAAAGTAACTTATAATTTGGGACAGAGATAATATTTTCTTAATAACAACTACAATGTACTAAACTAATTTTACTACCTCACTTCTTCAACTTACGATCTAGACCACACACTATTAACAAGTACCCTTAAATAACATGAAAATCTAATATTATGGTAAAATAAACAATGAATTAAGTAAAACGAGAAAATATATATTTTTTAATAGAAAAATTGGTTAAAAAATAAGTAATTACCTCATTATTATTTGACTCTCTCAAAGAGATAAGGAGTATAATAATATGTTCTAGATAATTATTAAAATAGATTGAATAATTAGAGTTAAAGAATAAACTACAGATGAAATAAAGATGAAGGTATTTAAATACATAAATTTATTGAAAAATATAAGAATTAATGGTAAGCTTGGGATTTTTAAAATGATGAATATATATATATATATATATATATATATATATATATATATATATATATATATATATATATATATATATATATATATATATATATATATATATATATATATATATATATATATATATATATATATATATGAAATCAAAGGTGATTTAAAAAGATGTAAGGAACGTGGCTATAATTTTTTCTAAGAAAAAATAAAGGGAGTTACGGTGAAAACGACGTAGTTTCACAATGGAACAATAATTTTCCTGTTATCGCTGAGTTAAGAAATGAAGAAGAAAGAAAGAAAGAATTAATTCAATAATTCAATTCAAATTCATCGTTTGCTTTGTTCTTCGTTCCCTAATTCTCAATCAAAATCCGTTTCTTCAAATCTGAGCCACTTTAATTCTCTCCACAAGTTACAAGGTATATCAAATTTTTCTCTTTTTTAATCCCTCTTGTGTTTATCGAATTATCATTCGCAGTATTGATTTGAGAATTAACATGAACTTCATTTCTCGCGTTCTGCAGAAACTTTTTTCAATGGTGCAAACACAGAATTCACAGCCTGATGAATTAACCACGCCCTTAATTGTCAGTCAGTTTTTCTTCCATTTTTTCATGATTTTATTTATGTTTTATTTACTACCAATTTTTATGATTTTATTGGTTTATACATATGGAATTGTTTTCAATGTGCAAAAAGTGTTTATTGTCTGATAAATTTTAGTGTTTAATGTGCAAGAAGTTTATTTGAACGAGGTCGTAATTGAATTAATTTGGTACAATTTGACATATAGATAGATACAACTGCAGAACACAATAGTTATCAAACTAATGACAGCAAATTATTTGGTTTAACAATTTTAGTGCTTATTGAATTATGTAAACTGGGTAATACTTCAATAAATGCACACTGGGTAATACTTCATTACCAAAAGTTTCCTATTGCCTGTTTTGCATTGACAGCCACATCCCTTCTTCCAGCTAAAAGTGGTAAGTAAGAGATAGTTTTTTGGTTCACTTAGGCATGTTCAGCTTGTGATCAGTTTCTTTCTGCTGATATGCATGGCTCCTTGAAGTCTGCACCTTATTATTCCTGCAGAGGGGATTTTTTCTTGTTCATTATGGATCATACTGTTAATGGTAGTTTGTTTCAAATGCTTGTTTTGCTGATTTGCTACTGCAATGCAGCTTTACTTAGTTTTAGTATTTCTACCTTTTATGATTGTACTGATTAAAACTAATATATGTTTTTTCATAAAAAATAATTAATCTAATCTCTTACAGACACAGGCGCAGCCGCAGGAAGATCGTTTGACAAATGATGGTCTGATTCCTCAGATATTTTCATCTGTGCCGGCTCTGAGTGATGCTGCTTCTTATCTTTCACAGACAACATCATTCTTAGCTGGTTGTTTCTCTGACTATTCAGGCAAGCATTTTTTGGTTTTACTAGTTCTTTTAGGGTCTATTTGGAATCTCCTTTCAGAAGTTTAAAGAATTGTGCCGCCAGTTCCTATAATTTTCCATAAACATATCTAATGAAGCTGAATTATAAATTCATAATGTAGCCTGTAAAATTAGAATTTGGTTTATCTCCAAGAAAAATTGTAAGGATGTACTTTGCTCGTCTACATTTAGTGCAAATAGAAACTATGCATTTAAGTTGTCACTTCAACTGTGCATTTTACATGAGAAGCGAAGATTGTAGAACGTAATCAGATTGCTTTTGTATTATGGTCATTGGTCGCCTTTTAGGGAAATTAAAATTCCTTTACAATTTTATAAGGGACAAACAAAGGCTCGGAGAATGGATTAATTGTTTTAGAACTTAATGTCCTCATTCTATTAAACCTTATAGGAACTGTAGATTTTACTGTAGGTCTAATTAGGTTCTTAAAATCTGCTATTCCTTGTGTTTTCAAGTATCGTAACAGCTTTAGTCTGGGTGCATAACTTCATAACTTCATTACTTCTGCTATTCCCTGCTCTATTCAAGAAATTTCTCCTATACATAAATTTAAATTTGTTAAATCCAAATGGCCAGTCTAACGGGACTTGCAGCAACGTCATAGAAGGTCTGAAGGGTGGCTAGTAGCCTTCACTCACTGACTGGACTGACAGCTGCAGAAAAGTGTGTGGCAGAGTGTGAGATAGAGGTTGACAGAGCGCTTTAGGGGACTGACCGATGTGACTTCATAGAATCTGATGGTGGGATCGTGGTATTGTCAGACACAGCTTTTGAAGTTTCTCCAAAGGCAATAACAACAACCCCATAATCATTTTGGGACTAGGCAAAAGTGTATGTTGGACATCCAACATCAGGACTGAAAAACAAGATACAGTTAGCCTTGACGGTGGCTGAACCCAAAGATAAAGAACTATGATTTCAAACCTTGTTCGGAAAAACGAAAACTATTATTATATTCCCAACCATTAGAGAACTACAAAGCAGAATAGAGGACTGACCGATGTGACTTCATAGAATCTGATGGTTGGATCGTGGTATTGTCAGGAGCGGCTTTTGAAGTTCCTCCGAAGGCAATAACAACAAGCCCATAGCCATTTTGGGACTAGGCGAAAGTGTACGTTGGACATCCAACATCAGGACTGAAAAATAAGATACAGTTAGCCTTGACGGTGGCTGAACCCAAAGAAAAAGAACTATGATTTCAAACCTTGTTCGGAAAAACAAAAACTATTATTATATTCCCAACCGTTAGGGAACTACAAAGCAGAATTGTGGAAAGACGATTCAAGAAGGATCGAATCAAGCTCTAGATACCATGTTGAATTTGTGATTGTGTAAAAGAAGAGAAACAAATATTATTGATAATGATTATTGACTTAATACAAAATACTCAATACTATCCTATTTATAGGGATACATATACTCCGGACCATCATAGAACTACTCCAGACAATCATAAAACTTGTACAATTAATTTATAACTACTTTTCTTTATCACACGTACTAAGTATAAGACCTTGACATTAGTGATTTTTGACCTTAAATCTTTTGTTTTGTTATTTTTTCAGTAGAACATTCCCCAAGACAGTCTGGTGCTTCTGACATTCATGCACAAGAACTCGTGGCTTTTTCTTCCCCAGAAACTGAGGCATCTTCATCTACTGATATAAATCATATCAATTCAAATGGAAAAAATTTAACAAGTATTGAATCATCTTGCACTTCAACTTCTACACCTCTACTTACGCATGGCGAAAACACAAGGATTTCTGGCAGAGATCCGTTACAAAATGCCAGTACCAGCACACTTGTTGAATCAAATAATACTGGGCGAAGTGGCATTTCCATTTTCCGAAGGTATTATATGTCATCCCAATCTGAATGTGATTTTTTCTGATAGGTCCTTTTTCCAAATTATTAAACTAAACTGGTATAATGTGACAATGTTGGATACTAAGATACGGTTATTTACTGTTCAGTATGTATCTGCAAGTTTTTCAATGAAATAAGGATTTAATAGGCATACACAGTGTAAATCAGTTTTAAATTGTCATCCGATGGGAGTTCCCATTTTTCCATTGTGTCCTTATATTTTCTTCTATTGATTTTCCATATTTTCATTTACATACTGTAGTGTTAGTATCCTTGTATTTCTGAAAAAGTAGAGGGAATTGAGAGAAAATCAGGAAAAGTTGGAAGGGAGAGCGCTCACAGAAATTTTTGAGAATGGGTGAATATTATTCATTCTTTAATCTTTCCAATATATATGATATTGATACGTCATTTTTTTTTCCCTTTCTAAATATTATGAAATGTATCCTAGCAAAAATACTTTACCCAAATGATTGAAAGACGCGGAGTTTACGCGTTGCCACATCATCTACTTCTGCTTAGGCCACCATGAGATTAAACTCTAATATTTCCTCGCTCTACTTGTCATATAAATTTATGTTGATTTCTCCATTTAAGCTCCTATTCTTCTTTTTTTTTTAGGACAGAAAATCTAAACTCCAATTTGTTAAAGCTCTTTTGATTACTGACATGGGGATGATAAACTTCTTTTTATGACTTCAGCCTGATTGATCGCGCTCGAAGAACTGTCCGTGGATCTGCAGATGATATAGGATGGCTTCAACATGCTCAAGGAATGCCCCCAGTTGAAGATGGAACAGAGAGGTTCCAGGAAATTCTTGACAGCATCAAGTAAGTATTGTATTGTTTTTTCTCATATCTTTTAGTTTTTTTTTTTAACTCAGTTTTTCTTACATTGTCAGGCACGGTGTTCATCGGTTACCAAATTCAATGGTTTATTTATTAATTCCAGGTAAAGTGCCTGATTGTGCTCATGATAAAATAATGACCACGACTTGCATACACACACAGCATGACATTAAGCCCCGTGATGAATCAATGATAAGATATCATTTTGAAATTTATGTGCTATTAACTGTAGCGCTTCTTAAATTGGCAGGTCTTTTCAGTAACCATGGTCCACTTTACTTTGTGAGTACGAAAGTCAGTTTTTCAAAATTGGGTTTGGCCTGTCATATTGCAAAGATTCATAGCGAGGTATATAATAATAGTAGTTATTACGGAAAATGCTAACTCTATTGTTCGTGTTATTTTTCTTACATTCTATTACTGAATATGAAATGATAATTAATTAGGCTTCAGTTGAGAAAAATGCCAGAGAGATAAAAGAGTATGTTGAGGAAATTTATTGGGGTTCAAATAAACGTGTTTTGCTTCTCGGACATAGCAAGGGAGGAGTAGATGCAGCAGCTGCTTTATCACTGTACTGGCCTGAATTGAAAGATAAAGTTGCTGGGTTGGTATTAGCACAAAGTCCATATGGTGGTACTCCTATAGCTTCAGATCTTCTGCGAGAAGGACAGCTTGGTGATTATGTGAATGTACGGAAACTCACTGAGATTCTTATCTGTAAAATTATTAAGGTATGTTGACTTCTTGTTTACACTTGAAATGTGTGTTTTCTTTGCCATCTTTTTCTTATCTGGATTTTCCTTCTTCCTTGGGAATACAAGAACATAAGAAGTTGGCTTAATGTTTCTATATTTTTGCCAAAACTCATCCATCTCTTTTTTGCTTGTCATCTGTATTTTGGTATGCTGATTATGGTACACGATTTGATGTTACTTGAGACAATATCTAATGTTTTCATGTACTACAATTTCCTTTAGCAGTATAGTTTAGTTTTGACCTATCTGGATGGTTCCATTGGAATGCTAAAAACAGTTATATATAAGGCTGGAAGCAAATTTGGGATTTTGTATATTGAAGTAATGAAAGATAACTGTTACTGCTCCATAAAAAACAGTAAGGGTCTCGTTTGTTCAACGGAGAGGAGATGACAGATTTTAATTGAGGGGAGGGAAAGAGAGGGAATGGATTTTAATTGCCTTTATATTTGGTTCAAAAGAGAAGAGTGGAGGGGGGATATTCTAATTACATATACATATTTGGTTCACAAGAGGAGGAAAAAGATTTTAAAACAATTATATTTATATCCTTATAATCTTACAACAATTTTCTAAATTTAACCCAATAAAATAATATGACTTAACAGAAAAGTGAGCAAATAGAAAAGAAACATTGCTTCTAATATAAAACAAACAAATACAACAATCAAAATCATTACCGTAAAGACAAATCCATCAAAGTGACAGAAGCACCAGTGCAAGAAGATATTCCAAAGGAGCAAAATTGCTCGCACTAAAATTAATAGAGATAGTGTAACCTTTAAAATTTTAATAAACATAGTTTTGGATTTTAATATAAAATGAGGATAGTTTTGTCAATATAATAAAAAAATTAAATAACACAGCTACCCTCCCTCCAAATCCCCCGATTTAGGGGGAAGCAAAAAGTGGTCCTAAGAAGGATTTGACTCCCCTCCTTTCCCATTGCCTCCTAAAAATTGAACTGAACAAATAAATTTTAAAATCTCCCATCCACATCACCCAACCATACAGATCAAAGGTATATTTGGAAGACAATTCAATCTCATCCCATGGAGCATTGAATCATTCTACCTTTGTACAGGGTTTTGATGTTCATGGTTCTATGCAATTAGCCATGAAATGGAATCTATTAGAGTGTATTCTGTATTTAGACTAAAAGTAGGTAACTGGCAACTGCCAGTTATAGTCTAGTGTCACTTAGCATAGCCAATCACCTTGTTACGATATAAGTAACAAGGTGTAACTTCAATGTAACTAACTCGTAATCAAAACAAAATTCTGTTACAGCAATAAAAAGCTTTACTCTCTCTCTAGCATAGTTTCTAACACGGTATCAGTTTAAGCCTCTTGATCCTTCGCTGCGATGGAGCAACCACCGCCTCCGGAGTCTTCGCCAGCGACCTCTGTTCATCTCTCCGGTGCGAACACGCCGGAAATGCCAAAATCCACTGACAATGTGCATCGTTTCCAGTTCGCGCTCAAGATTGCACACAAACTGGACGAGAAGAACTTCCATCTATGGCGGCAACTAATCGAGTCGTACATCAACGCACACAACCTCACTGAGTTCGTCGTCTGCTTGCGTGTTCCACCTCAGTTTGTGGATGATGAAGCTCGTAACTCAGGTACTGTTAATCCTACATACACTCGTTGGTTGCAAAAAGACCAGATGTTGTTATCGTGGCTCCAATCCACGTTATCGAGTGAGATCCTCTCACGAGTTCTTGGATGCACTTATGCTCATGAACTCTGGGATTGTCTTTTCAACTATTTTCAGAAACAAACTCGCGCTCGAGCTAGATAACTTCGTGTTGAGCTTCATGCCCTAACTCTTGCTGATTCTATTCTTCATGACTATTTACTCAAGATTCGCAATATTGTTGATGCTCTAGCTTCAATTGGTGATCCAATTCCAGTTTCGCACCACATTGATGTTATCTTGGAAGGTTTACCAACTGAATATGCTCCAGTAGTGTCTTGTGGAGAGTAAATTTGGTGTAATGGATCTTGATAAAGTGGAGATTCTTTTGCTTGCTCATGAATTGCGTCAGAATAGGTTCAAGAAGCAGTCAACACCAGATCTGGTGTCTCTGAATCTCACTCATGCTGCTTCTACTGGCTCCAATCCTAAGGATACAACTTTTGCTGCACCAGACTCTGTACCTCCACCAGTTGCTCAAAATTCTGACATTGACACTCCGCAATTTCGTGGAGGTAGAACTTCAAGAGGTGGTCACTCAGGTCATGGTAGAGGTGGCAGGTCCTCAGTGCAGTGTCAAGTGTGCTCTAAGGTTGGACATTTTGCACTCAACTGCTGGCATAGATTTAATCAGCAGTTTCAGCCTACAACTAACTTTGTGCCAACATATGCTCCTCAGCCTTGGACTGCTTCACCTACACCCTATGTTTTGCAGCCTGTCAATGTTTGGACCAGACCCCCCTCCAACAGCAGAGCTATTCCTCAGCTCACTCTACCTAGTGCTTTAGTTGCAAATTCTTAGCCTGCAGTTGTTCCAAGTGCATCCTGGTATCCTGACTCAGGAGCATCATATCATGTTAATAATGATTCAAGGAATGTGCAGCAAGTGACACCATATGAAGGTCCTGATCAGATCTTCATTGGCAATGGTCAAGGTTTGCCCATTAATTCCACTGGTTCTAGCACTTTTCTGTCTAACACACACCCACACACACCTCTTACCTTGAATAAACTCTTATTCCCTCCATTACAAAGAATCTTATCAGTGTCGGTCAATTTTGTCGTGATAATGGAGTATATTTTCTGCATACATCTGATAAGTGCCTTGTCAAATCTCAGGCTACACATGAGGTGGTACTTGAAGGTGCTTTTGGAACTGATGGATTGTATGAGTTCACTTCACTCAACTTCTCCAGCTCATGTTCCAAGACTGCTGTCAACTCTGTGTTCTACTACTTTGTTACCTAGTATTAATACTACTGTTACTCATGTTAGGCCTACTGTCATGTGGCACCTAAGGCTAGGACATCCTAATAAACATGCTCTTAAGCTTGTACTTCAAAGTTGTAATGTTGTTTTACATAATAAAGAAACTGATTTCTTCTGCTCAGCCTGCTGTATGGGTAAATCTCACAGAATTCCCTCTTCACCTTCATACACAACACACTCCACACCTTTGGAACTAATTTATGGGGATCTATGGGGGCCATCTCCCAATGCATCTACTCTAGGCCACAAGTACTACATGTCCTTTGTAGATGCCTATACTAAATTTACTTGGATTTACTTCCTTAAAAACAAGTCTGAAGCTCTAGCTACATTTAAACAGTTCAAAACATTGGTGGAGTTGCAGTTTGGCAAGCCTATTAAGGCCTTTCAGTCTGACTGGGGTGGCGAATTCAGGCCATTTAACAAGTTCTTGGCTGAGTTAGGTATTCTGCACAGGGTTATCTGCCCTCACACACACCATCAGAATGGTGGTATAGAGAGGAAGCATAGGCATATTGTGGAAACAGGGCTCACATTGCTAAGCCATGCTTCACTGCCCTTAACTTACTGGGACTTTGCCTTTTCTACAGCTGTTTATCTTATCAATAGACTTTCTTCTGCTTCAATACAATTCCAGGTCCCCTATTCCTTGTTGTTTAACACCAGCCCTGACTACACTTTTTTCAAAGTGTTTGGTTGTGCCTGCTTCCCACTCTTAAGACCCTATTCTAGCCACAAACTTGATTTTAGGTCTCAAGAGTGTGTCTTCCTTGGATATTCCACTTCTCACAAAGGATACAGATGTCTAGCACCTAGTGGTAGACTTTTTATCTCCAAAGATGTGCTATTTCATGAGTCCAGATTTCCATATGTTGAACTATTTCCATCCCCCACTTCAACTCATACTCAAAATTCTTCCTCATCTGTCTCTCTTTCTCCTCTGCCTCTTACATTCCCACCTCTTTCTTCTCCTAATTCTAATTCATTCTCCTCTTCCTCTAAGCCTCTTTCTTCATCCTCTATTCATTCTGGACAGCCTGTGGCTACTAACAGTCTTAATGATGTCAGTGCTTCTAACACTACTAAACCTTCTACCTCTTCCTTTACAATCCTACCTGGTAGGTCTCATGTCTCTGAATCCACTACCTCTGCTTCTACTTCACACCTTTCTACATCTGATCAGCCTTCACCTGCTTCAACTGTATCAGACCCTCCTAGCTCCAGTCAATCTGAAGCTTCTCCAGCTAATGCTATTCCTCCCAAGGCAGTTCCAGTTGCTGCTATTCCTGTTAATAGTCATGATATGCAGACAAGGGCTAGTCAGGTTTTTCTCAACCCAGACTTGAACCCAAGTTACTACTCACACTGTCTGAACCCAAAACAGTTAAACATACTCTCTCTGATGTACAGTGGAAAGCAGCAATGCAAGCAGAATATGATGCTCTTATGAACAACAACACATGGACCTTGGTTCCTCTCCCATCTCAAAGGTAGGCTATAGGCAGCAAGTGGGTATTTAGAATTAAGGAGAATCCTGATGGCACAGTTAACAAGTATAAGGCCAGACTTGTGGCCAAAGGCTTTTGTTAAGAAGTGTGGTTGAGCCTAACTCAACCCTACAAAACCGGTTGGTAGAGTGAGGATTGCCCCCACTTATAAACACATGTTTATGCCATATATTGTCCGATGTGGGACTCTTAACACACCCCCTCACGCTCAGGACTGGACAACTGAAGCGTGGAAATAAATGGTGGGTGGCCCGATAGCGGAAACCATAGAAGGTGGCCTACCGGATCTTAAACGAGGCTCTTGATACCATGTTAAGAAATGTGGTTGGGCCTAACTCAACCCTACAAAACCGGCTTGGTAGAGTGAGGATTGCCCCCACTTATAAACACATGTTTATGCCATATATTGTCCGATGTGGGACTCTTAACAGCTTTCATCAAAGAGAGGGGTTTGATTTTAATGAAACTTTCTCTCCAGTTGTGAAACCTATCACCATTAGGCTGATCTTATCTATTGCTCTCACTCATAACTGGACCATACAACAATTGGATGTGAACAATGCGTTCCTTAATGGGCTGTTAGATGAGGAAGTCTACATGGTTCAACCTAAAGGCTTTGAAAGTGGTAATCCTGATATGGTCTGCAAACTCAATAAGGCCATTTATGGCCTTAAGCAAGCTCCTAGACAATGGTTTGAAAGGCTTCAAGCAGCCCTGGTGCAACTCAGCTTTCAGCCTAGCAAGTGTGACCCTTCCTTGTTCAGTTACTTCTCTCAAGGGCATATAGTCTATCTCCTGGTCTATGTAAATGATATTATCATCATTGGCAGCTCAGTTGCTCTTGTGCAATCCATCATCTCCAAACTGAATATGGCTTTTTCTCTCAAACACTTGGGAGACCTAGACTGTTTTCTTGGTATTGAAGTCAAGAGACTCACTTCTCAGTCCTTGCTTCTCACTCAGACAAAATATATCGAAGATCTTCTTCTCTGCAATATGCAACTCTAACAAGGCCTGACATTGCCTATTCAATGAACAAAGTTTGCCAGTTCATGTCCCATCCCTTGGAGGCACACTGGGTTGCTGTGAAAAGAATCCTGAGGTACCTTAAAGGCACTCTCTCCCATGGTCTGCAACTTCTCCCCTTACCTCTTACTACTGCTCCAGTCATTTAGGTCTTTTGTGATGCAGATTGGGCATCTGATCCTGATGACAGGAGAAGCACCTCAGGTGCTGCTATTTACTTTGGTCCCAACCTCATTTTATGGTGGTCCAAAAAGCAGCCTGTTGTGGCCAGGTCCAGCACTGAGTCTGAATTCAGAAGTCTTGCTCAAGCTACTGCTGAGTTTAGACTAAAAGTAGGTAATTGGCAACTGCCAGTCATAGTCTAGTGTCACCTAGCATAGCCAGTCACCTTGTTACTATATAAGTAACAAGGTGTAACTTCAATGTAACTAACTTGTAATCAAAACAGAATTCTGTTACAGCAATGAAAAGCTTTACTCTCTCTCTAGCATAGTTTCTAACAGAATCTCATTTCTTGCTTTTATTTTCTATTAAACATAGGAATCCTCATTCTACAGAATAGGTCATGCCATGTACCAAATATATTGGTCTAGATTTAAACACACTTAGAATTTTTAGCTAGGATGTGAAAAAACCGACCAAGTCTTTTCTCACTTAGTGATATATTTGGTTCAAAGATAAACCATTTGCTCTAAATCTTTCTCAGAGGTTTAGATCTATAGTTTTTGTTGGGCTTCCTACACCTTAACTATTGGATTATCCTCCATCCTGCCAACTCTTCTTACCAGTTCTTTTATATGTCTTCTCTTCATATGCCCAAATCATCTAAAGACGAGACTCTACCATCTTTTATACAATGGGGGCTTTCCCGAAGTTCTATCAAATGATTGTTTTTAATACCTTTGTCTTATTCATGCAATGTAACATTTTCATCTATGTGACATTAAGATTGCTTTCTTTTCTTCTTTTATTACCGAACATTTAGTTATATACATTTGCAGGTCTTGTAGCTATGACAAAAAAATTCAATAAGCTAGAGTGGTAGTTTTTCACATATCACACCTGGAACGTTCCTATGTTTGACTCTATTTGCCTATCACTTTGTGTGATATGCCCAAGGTTCTTACTGTGAGACTTGCGCCATTGAAAATTCTCAAAATTTCACCTCTAAGCTAGGATTTGCGGGTCTCTTGCATTCCGTATACTTCAGTTTACTAATAATTAAGCAGAAATCATTTACTTTTGTTCATATCTCTTATCTTTACAATTATTTATTCTCTCAACTATCCAGAGAGAGTTTTTGGAGTGGGCCAGCCAGTCCATGGACTGGGCTGACTCATAGAACTGGCCAGACCACTTTATATCATAACCAAGTCCATGGGCTAGATATAGCCAACAAAAACTTGTGAGCCTTTTAGCCTTATCTGTGTAGATTTTAGGCCCTGTAGTTTTTTCTTGCCCTGACCCATGTGTGCCAAGGCCGGGGGTTGTGGAATGAGCCATTCTAACAGCTCTATTCTAAACTCAATCACTATGTTTCAGAGCTTCTTAGTATGACTCGTGAGTTATTTTCTCAGTAATTTGCACAATTCTGTATGTCACCTTTGTTATGAATGTAGGGAATTAAGTACTCCTGCACTCAACAGATATCTAAGAAGTGGTTATGGAAATTTTCTTTGAGATCACATTCAGTCATTGGTAAAAGATAATTTGATTTGTGTGTTGATTGAACGACATCTTCATCTTTGAAGATTCTACTTATTTTCTGTAGTAACTCGTTAAATTATGTTCTGTATTTTATCTATTGTTTTCATGTAACCTGCAGAATTGTGTTGGAGTATGTTTTTAGTCATTGTTAGCATCTTTCAGCTTTGTGGAAGTCTTGCATTATATAACTTACCATCTCTTGCTACAATTTATGATTTATATTTATAACAGGGAGACATGCGAGCCTTAGAAGACTTGACATATGAAAGGCGGAGAGAATTTTTAGAGAAGCATCATCTGCCAGAAGAAGTCCCCGTTGTTTCCTTCCACACTGAAGCTGGCATTTCACCTGCTGTTTTAGCTACATTATCTCATGTTGCTCACGCCGAACTACCCCTAGTTGCTTCAGCTGGTGAAAGTACAAAACTCCCCGTGGTGATGCCCCTAGGTGCTGCTATGGCTGCTTGTGCACAGTTACTGCAGGTGAGGTATGGCGAGAAGAGCGACGGGCTTGTAACTTGCAGAGATGCAGAAGTTCCTGGATCTATTGTGGTGCGACCTAAAAGAAAACTGGACCATGCTTGGATGGTTTATTCGTCGCTAAATGATGATCTTACTGAAGGCAATGCGTCGCAGGTTTGTGAAGCTCTCTTAACTCTACTCGTGGAAGTCGGGCAGAAAAAGAGACACGAGCTTGCAATGAAAGACGAATGAAAAGCATTTCAGTTTTTTATTCTACATGTTCATATTAATCTCTCCAGAACTCTATATTAAATTTATTATTTATAGTATAGTCATAAAAACATTGAATTAGGACAAGCTAAAAATATACGTTCTCATAGATATAAAAATAACTAAGCAAAAAACTTATTAGTAAACTGAATTTAACTTCCACAAACAAAAAAAAGCTGAAAAAGCATCACTTTAAAGAATAAGCCTTAATTTTTGCATTCAAAACAATTGTTTTTAGAACGTGGTAATTGGCATTATTATAATGAATTAAAGAGGAAATCTGCATCAAAAGCATAGAAATAATTAATCATTTTACAGGCAAGCATCAGATGCATTTCTTTACAACGTGAAAGAAAAAAAATAAAACTGAATCTTGTCCTCCTTTTATAATCCAAAGTCCCTGTTCTGAGAGAACCCTTTGTCCTTTAGATTTATCAGACCCTTGTAAATTTATTAAAAATCATATTAATTAAAGTATAAAGCATATTAATCTCATTATTTGATTTTGCAGTGGAATCTTAAATATATTAGGATTTTTATTTACTGCAATCTTTTCATAAACACGGTCCTACTGCACATGTTAGTTAAGGGCAATTTATGATGCTGTGTTTAATATCCCATCGAATATGTTTGTCACTTGTGTTTTTGAAGAATTTATTGTAGTACTCTTTATATCTTATAAAAAATACCTTTTTTGAAGTATGCATAATTTTGCACTTAATTTTTAATTTTCATTGACTTGAAAAGACATGTGATAGAGTATTTAAAGTGATTTTGTAAAAAACCTAAAGAAGAAAAGATTAAAATTGTCTTTAGTCTAGTTATCCAAAATATACATGAAGGGGGTATTAATTAGTGTGCAGATACTAAGTGAAAAGATAATCGATTTTTCTATTACAATAGGAATGTATCAAAATTTAACATTAAGCTTTTACTTTTTTATTTAATTTTAAATGTCCTCATGAAACACATTCACAAATTAATATTAAGATATATGTGTTTTTGTAGATGATGTAGTTCTAGGAGGACTTGAATGAGGCTCTGGAGAAGACCATTAAAAATGTTTATAACTTAAAAGTTAGAGTTGAAAGTTTGAGACAATATTAACCTTCAAGTAACATGATTTAAATGTTTTAGGTCGTTATACAAAATGATAGAGAGATATAAGGCGATATAAATCATTGAATTTAAACTAGACGGTTGAAATTGAGGGTCTCATTTATTTATATGACACAAAAGTACCGGTTAATTTGAAAAAAATTATTTTATCAGACAGCGATAAGACATACAATATTGTACGAGGCAAAATATTAAAAGATTAAAAATTAACATAAATAAAAAAAAGTTTAGCATATATGAAACGTGATAACATTAGAAATGAGTGTTGGGTAACTTATAATTATTCTTAAATTCTTATAAAAACAATATATATATATATATATATATATATATATATATATATATATATATATATATATATATATATATATATATATATATATATATATATATATATATATATATATATATATATATATATATATATATATATATATATATATATATATATATATATATATAAGGTTATCATTTTTTTAAATGGTAAATATAATATATTAATAAGATAAAAATCAGGATACAACAATAAAACGGGATAAATCACAAGAAGTGCCTAAGAAAAAGAAAAAATACAACAAGATAGATAAAGTAGGGAGACAAAGAAAGAAGGAATCATATATAAGCATAATCACAACTACTAATGAATCATCTCGATACTCACATGTTAGAGCTCGAATCAACCAGATCCACCATTGATAAATCAAATTTCAACAAAGAAGAAATAAAGATCCACCATCAAACTCTAATGACATGACAACCCTCGATCCACTATAGGTGCATGTAAAAGATAGGGTTTTGAAACTAATATGTGAAGGTGCATGAATTCTCCCCCGCCTACCCAAAAACCATTTCTAAGCCAAACAACTGGTCTTCTCTTCCATTTCTTTCTTTGATATTGTGACTCAATTGAAGATAACATCATTACAAACTTTCAAAATAGATCAGATAACCGCATGCCAAATCATAAGATAAATACCCTTATACTGAGTCGTACCTCCTAAAGAAAGGAAAGAGTGAAAAAGCACTCTAAGATCCTGATAAATAACTACCTCTATTCCAACCACTTAAAAATATAGGAGATGATCTCAAAATATTTAAAATGTTGAAAACTATCTCCTCTAAAAAACCACAAAAATGACATCCAAACCTATTAGTATCTGATATCACCCATTTCCTAATCAGGCTGACTCCGGAGTAGGCATGACAACATAGTCTGTATCCACGGGTATCTACTCGAACTCGCCCCGAAGTTAACGGGGAAAACTCGCTCTAATTGCGTTTGGATTTGAATTTGAGTTTTCTCCGATTATAAAATATGGGGATGAGTCGGATAATGGAAATATTAGTACACACCCCGAACACGCCTCGTTCACTTTATTATGTAAATTATTATTTAGTTTTGATAATTTAAAATGTTAAATGTGGTTAATGTTTTGATATTTTAATTTGTATTTATTATCTAAAATATTTGCAATGTATGTTTGGAATTTTTTGAGATTATTTTATTTTATTATTTATAATGTAATTTGATATTAAAAAAAAATAACTTTTTTATTAAAAAAACTAATTTCATTAAATGAATGGTGGCAGAGCAAGGATGCCTAAATTTGAAATGAGTTTAAGTTTTAATTCTTCATTCTCGTTTAAGTTTAGAGCTAAGAACAAAGATTATTTGAGAATTCGAGTTTGAATTGGAAAATGTAAAAAATATATCCGACCCGACCTTCAGTTGGGATGCAATATCATCATTAATTATATCTTTGCAACCTAAGATATAATAAGGACTCAACTTAATATCCTTTAAATTAATATCCATATTATTAAGACTTTGACATTTTCCACGTTGATGTTGAGTGATAGTCTTGTTGATAATCCAAGCAAATCCTCCATCTTTATGTGACGCAGATGTTGTCTTAATATTCGTGGGTGGATAGTCGCAGTTTTCTCCTTGAAATGACGACTTGTCTTTACATCTAAAATCAATCAAAACCAACAAATTTTTGTCATTTGTACCACGAACTACGGGGTTTTGATTCCATATTGCACTTTATGGGTACGTAGGCATGAGACGATAAGTCTCTCCAAACACAAAAATCTAAAAAATAATTCTCTTCTCATCTCCCCAATCTCTTTTCAAACAAACCATTTTCAAACCAAAAAGCGTAAATATTTCAAAGGGCTCCTATAGAGTACTATAGACGTTTTGGGTGCTAACACCTTCCCATTGCGTAACCAACCCCCTTACCCCGATCTCTCCCTCGTGTTCTTATTTTAGAACTCTTTGGTTTTGTTCGCTCTTTTTTCCTTTCCTTTATTTGGATAAATTAACACCGGTTGCTGGCCACTCAGGACTCCAACCAACACTTGCAAGAGTCTCTAGCGCCTTCCTATGGCCGGGTATCTACAGAGACACAAAAGAGTTCGTTAGAACTTGCTCAATCTGTCAAACTAATAAATACAGTACCAAAAAGAAACATGGATTGCTTCAACCTCTACCAATACCAAACCAAGTCTGGGAAGATCTAACAATGGACTTCATTACTCACTTACCTAATTCCTTTGGCCATACAGTCATCTGGGTAATCTGTGACCGTCTCAGCAAGTTCTGCCACTTCATCGGCCTTCCCACCAAGTTCACTGCAAAGGATTTGGCTCTACGATTTTCGGTCGAGATCTGTAGGCTTCATGGAATACCACGCACCATTATTTCTGATCGTGACCCCATTTTCCTCAGCGCCTTTTGGAAGGCATTGTTTAAAGCACAAGGCACCACCTTGAAGTACAGCACCGCCTACCACCCTGAAACGGACGGACAAACAGAAGTCGTTAATCGTTGTTTGGAAACTTATCTACGGTGTTTCACTAGTGAACAACCTAAGAAATGGTTTCAATACTTACATTTAGCGGAACTCTGGCATAACACCGCGTTTCATAGCTCCATCAGCATGTCACCATTCGAAGCCCTCTACGGTCGGCCCCCTCCTTCTTTTCCCCATTACGAACCAGGCTCTTCATCTTTGGTCATGGTGGATTCGTCCCTACAAAACAGAGAAGAAATTATTAACATCTTAAAACGCAATCTGGAGCGAAGTCGTTCTTATATGGAGACTCAAAGCAACAAAAAACGGCTACACGTAACCTTTCAAGAAGGAGACTTGGTTTTGCTTCGCCTTCAACCATACCGTCAGAGCTCCGTCCAGAAACGTGCTTCCAATAAACTTGCCAAACGCTTCTTTGGACCCTTCAAAGTTCTTCGCCGGATAGGAAGTGTAGCTTATCATCTAGATCTTCCGGACACATCTCGAATCCATCCCGTCTTCCATGTCTCACAACTGCGTCCATTCCATGGTACAGATCCGGAAGAGCAGTTCCGTCCTCTCCCCGCTGAAGAAGCAACCTCAGTTGATGAAGATCCATCGCATGCAACCACTTTTGATGACTTAATCGGAACAACTGAACCTAACGCGAAGCCAGATCAGTTCTATGCCACGGCGGATGATGAAACCAGAAGCGCTGAGACAACAGCTAAACACAACGCAGCGAAGGTCGCGAAGAAAGCCGGAAACCCAGAGAGTTTGACGGAGAGTAAACAACGAAAAAGTGAGCAACAAACGGGACGCGAAACTTCTGAAGTTGAAGTGAAGAAAGTCTTGAAACCATTTTCCAAAGGCATTAATGACTTGTCTGTTTCCAACACTTTCCAAAAGCAAAACACAGTACTCAAGGCGCCGCTAGCATGCATCGAGACACGTAACGCACCTAATCCACTTACCCTTGCATGCAGCAAGACAGCTGTCCAGGCAATCAATCCTTCTCCAACACGTGGGCATGAGCTGCCTCCCACTTACACCTCTCCAACTTCA